GTGCAAGCACATCTACCTGCACGAAGGAAGCCCTTTCTAGAAGTTGCACCTTCCCAATAGCTCTGCGTGAAAGCGCTATGCATGGCGCAATGCAGAGGTGATGCCAATTGGCGCCCAATGAACTATTTCCTGGTATCCTTGGCAAAAACATGCGTTTTAGAAGCATACCAATGTCTTAAAGCCAACTGGAGATTTTCTGGCGTCGGAGGGGTTGATTTTTCGGGCCGTGGGGGAGTGATTTTTCTATGATCACAACGGGGATTTTTTCGAATAGCAGGCCTAGGGATAAAATGAAAGTTTTGCTGGAAAGTAGAAAGCTTCATGCTTCCGGCACAGTTCTTTTTTACGAAAGGCCGTGTATGAAGCTTGCCATGGATGTCCAAAGCGTAGCGACTTGTGGTTGGCCCCCCATGATCACGCAAGGGTCACAACGGGGAAAATTTCTAGAAAAGAAATGTTTTTGAAATCGCTCAAACTCAGGTAACAAGAGCCAACCTAGCTCCACTCATTCCCACTTTCCCCTCTCCGAGAGCTTTACTTTCAACGAAGTTATGGGTGTTCAAAAGAGGGGTACTTTTCGAGTGTTTGGCTTGAAATTGGCTCCAGGTCGTAAAATAGCGCGCACCAATGCGCTTGTATTAGCGCGTGTATTAGGGCTCGCGTGCGGATGACCGCGAACAACTAATATTCAAAAACTAATGCATAGTTCCTAGTACTTCTGGTGAGTTTTTTGTCGTTTGTTTGGTATTTTAGATCTCTTTTTTGTTTTCTAGTAGTTTTTAAGGTTGTATTGTTGTAGTATTTGGCATTATCGAACTACTCCTACCCCAGTCTGCCGAAATCAGGCCAATTTTTATCGGTTTTTTTCTAAGGTAGATTTGAATGGAAATTTGTTACAGTGGTACTTCGACCTTCTGAACAATATCACACCCGCTTTGCCCAAAACTTTCATCGATTTTGGTGATTTAGGGTATTTTGGCGCCGCGCCACAGGCGCCAAAATACCCTGAATCACCAAAATCGATGAAAACTTGTATACGGGGGTTATTTGACATCCTGATTACGAATATGATATTTATTCTTGGCGCCAGCGCTAACGTAGGACACTATGGTCATCTGCGCTTTGCTAAGACTGAGCCTGACCTGAGGGAAATCTTCCTTTTTTCAGTTTCAGCCTCAGCAGAGCGCCAAATAGCATTGGTATGGAGAAATGATGTCACACTCGTGATCAGGACATCGAATAACATCTATAGACAAAGTTTCAGCATAAATTTTTTTGAGTCTGGCGTAGGAAAAGTCCAACAGTATTGCAAAAGAGAGAGATGGTAGAACCAGAGCCGGTAGGCTGCCAGCCAGAGCAACCAACAAAAATGACAGAAAAAAAAAAAAAAAAAAAAAAAAAAAGAGTCACTCTCTCTCTCTCCGAGAGCGGCTCTTAAATAGCAAGACCATGATTGCGTCATCCAGTGAGTCGAGTCGGCGTAGGTGGCTCCGCTACGCGAGATCGGTTACGGTGGGATCTTCGGCCTGAGTCATCCATACGACACCTGCTTGGACCTACTGCGCCCCTTGGTAAAAACCATCTCGTACAAGTCAACTCGCTATCCAGTCCTACACTTGACTGCTCTGATGACACAAATGACAGAAGGCCTCGCTCCCTTATAAAAGTGGTGAAGTTCGGTCAAAATTTTTCTCGTGAATTGACCGCTACTCAAGGGAAGTGCATGTGGGTACTGTCTACAACGTCGTCACTGCTTCTACCGTAAGGACTGGTTGAACAGCGTTGTAACTGGATATGAGGGAGGTGTCTCTAGGTAAATCATTTCCGGAAACGCCAGTGGCTAGATCCTCAGGGCAGAACCGGTTGCGCAGTCCTATGAATCCAGTAGAGCGATGAGAGTGTGTATGTGATAGGATGTCTCTCTCTCTTTTTCTCTCTCTCTTTCTCTCTCTC